AAGATCAAAGCAATTGCTCAAGGCAAAGGCATAACAGTTTTTGCTTACTATCAATAGTTTTTTTCTGCCCTTTCATCTCTCTATGATTCGATCTATTCCCTCCTAGTTCTTTCTACTGTGGCCTTGGTAGGTCATGGTTTAGAAGCCAGATTTAGACTCCTTTATCTTTTATCCTCAGAGCACCCCTCCCCCAAAGGGTTTATTTCTTACTCTACCATAAAGCATCAAAAGATGAATTATACTAACCTTACTGTATTCCAGGCATCTCCAAGCTCTTTGGAATATTGCTTTTCAAAATGATCCAAAACAACTTTGCAAATCTGTTTTGCAAGCTTCCTCTCTGATTTTGCTTTCAGCTATGATGATAAGAAAAATTTGCTGACACACTCTATTAAACTTCAACATTGTCCTTCCTTAAGAACACTTTTTTAGCTAATTGCTAGTTCTTGTAATGTTAGCAGTACTTCAAATATAAGCAACTACTACCAAACTTTTACAAAAAGAAAAAAGAAAAAAGAAAAAAAGAGGGTTTCTCCAAATGATTATTGCTCAAATGTAAAGCAATGGTAAAAGCATTATCTAGTAGTGTTAACATAGTAAGCTGCGTCAAAAGAACAGTTAGTTTAAATAAGTCACTTTAGATATTAACATTAGGGGGAACTCAGTGAAAAGCATATGGGAAGTCTGTATTATCTTTGCAACTTTTTTGTATATGTAGAATTATCCCAAAATAGTTTTTAGAAGTCACTCTAGTTTCCTTGGAAACGTCCTTGTAATTGTTTCATTTACTCGTCCAAAAAATGTTTAAAGGATCACGTATGTAACACGCATCGTTCTAAGGTCCTAAGGCAGACCAGCGACAAAGTCTTAGCTCCCGAGGCGCTTGCATTCCGCTCAAAGCTGAAGGGAGTTAAGTATTAAAAGTCTGCAAGCTGCACTGCACAGTTATCTAGGTCGGGAATGAATCTTGGAAGAAAATCAGAGAACGCTCACGAGCAAGCGTCAGAGCACTCAGCATTATTCTAGGGCTTTGCACTGTGAAACCAGAGAAACCCAGAGATCCCGAAGTTCCCCCATTCAAGTCCCCCCCGCCCTCCGCCCCCTCGACCCTTAAGTGTCGACTTCAGTCAGAGGCGCCCGGCCGGTTCCCAACCCTCACCCGGGTCAACACCATCCCGCCAGGCGATACCAAACAATAGGTCTACACCGCCCGACATCTAAAGCTACCAAGGAACCAAATGAACAGCCAGATTTCACGAGCTTCCCCGGAATTCGCTTCCTTGCCGCAATTGTTTCAAATTCTCGCGAGATACAGCTTCTCTTGCATTCTCGAAATCTTGCTCGGAAGCCTAGATCTCGCGAGAGGCACTTACGCAGCTACTTCCGCGGGTGGCTAGAGAAGGCGCTGCCTGCTCTGGGTGGCGTGGCGGGAGTCCGTGGGCGGTTCCTTAGGCGGCTCAGCCTTAGAAAGTCACGCCTCTTCCTGAACAGTCCGTGGCTGCTGTGTGCGTCGAGCTCAGTAAAAACTTGAAAATCTTCGTCACTATTAGGCTTTGTTGTATGATCATTGTTTTAAAATGTTCTGAAAGGCTAACCTAGGTGCTGAATTAATTACCAAACTTGATGACTCCAGTTAGCCCAGATAGTCAGAAGTCAGTATAAAAGGATGGCTATGAGGAAAAAATTAAGTCATACATTTCCTAAAGGTGTCCCATTGGGATAATCTTTCTTTTGATGGAGAGGGTTAAATGATTAATTGATTGAAATACACAGTAAAGCACTTAGCGCAGAGACTAGGAAACGGTAAACGCCAAAATGTTAGCTGCTGCTGTGTATTATTTTCACTATCATGATCTTAACGCTTATCCAAGTTCTGATACCAAATGCTTGAAGACCAAAATGACTACACACTAGCCATCTCACCCACCTTTACCAGAGACAGTATTACTGGTTCGCAGGAAGGTATTACACTCATTCTGATAGGAAGTTTATTTGTTCATTCAGTGTTACTCTTTAATTATTCTTTTGACAGCAATCAGCAACTTAGAGAAAATCAGTGCTTAATGTGGTCTCTAATATTGAATGAGCACCAACATTCTGAAACCCTTGATGCTCAAAATATCAGTATAAGTGTATACCATTGGTGCAAATCTTAGGGCCATGGAAAAAAAGATAAATGACGTTACCATTAATGTGGTTCGAAGTTTAATATATTTATTTAAACAAGTTCCTTAGTAATTTAAAATTTAGATTTGGTGCAAAAGAAAATATAGTACTAAAGTGAAATGATTAAATGCAGGCGATTTGTTAGATGTTAGGTTACAGTCAATTACCTTTCAGCCTCTATACGTAGAGATTTTATATATTTTTCCTGTAGTCATTACATAATGTTGCATTTAATAAATTAATATGGTAATATATTTGCAATGTAAGCATATAAAAGACTTTTAAGGAGTTAGTAGAAATCATATGTACTATATTTGTTAGAGAAAGGGGATGTTATGCTTGAAAAGAGATATTTCTATTATATTGTGACTCAGCATATTTCTATTTTCTAATTTTAAGTAATGCATATTGAAGAAAATTTTAAAGCCTACGAGAGTGATAATTAGGCATAATGGCACTAAAGATAATCACTATTAACATTTTAGTCTATTTCTCTAATTTTATGCATTTTCAAGGTTGATCAAACAGTATGTATAACAAATGTATTTTTTCTTGTTTTTGAGCATTTTCTTAAAAATTCTTCATATACATCATTTTTAGAAGTTGCATAATAGTTGAAAGTATGGAGGCTATCATACTTACCAGCTATTTCATTACTGATAATCATTTTTGTTCAGAAATCTTTGCACATGATAAACAATTTTTATATCCTTAGGGTAGGTTTTCAAATCTTATTAGTTATTATATTTCTTTTGTAAATTACCTGCTCATGTCATTTATCTACTGTATGCATGTTAGTGCTATTTATATTTATGTTTATATTAGAGATGTTAACTATATCACGTTTTCAAGTATTTTCTCAATTTTTCCTACCACAACTTTAAATGTGAAAATACTTAACATTTTTATGCCATCAATTGAGTTTTGATTCCATTGCTTTTAGGCTTGGAAATTTCTTTGCACAAAGGGGAGCTACTTCTGCCCCCCCCCCTTTTTTAACATTTGATCTTTAATATTTAACTCCTTAATCTATCTAGAATCAATATTAGTGTATCGCGAGAATGAGAATAGATTTCCCCTTCCCCATACCAAAGAGCTACTAGAATAAACAAAATAAACAAAACTCCACATTGAAATTTAAGACTAGAAACTGTTAGAAGCAGACTTGTTTTAAATCACTGCAGACATAAGAAATTGAGGTAACACAAATACTAGAAATTGTTTTTTTTAATTATAGTGTTAAAGAATGAAGCAGCTTAAGAATTTACCGCTAAGCAGGAAAATAATGTTTACATATCTAAGCAATTTTATTGTTAAGTCATTTAAGAAATGTTTCAGAATAAGTATACTTCATAGACTATCTTCTATAATGTCTTATGAATTTTCATATTTACTTAAAACATCTCAAAAACTTTCATGTACATATACAGTTTTATGTGTCAAAATATAAAGACAGGCTTTGTAGTAAAACAATCTGACATTAAGAGAGAACATTAGCTCCTTAAAATGGATGGCAGAAAAACACAATTGCAACCTGCCATCAACGCAAAAGAACAAAGGATAGTCAGTTATAGAAATCTTGCTTTGACTTCAAGTGAGCAGCTAGTTGGCTCAGGCTCTCATTTTATTATTTTAGGCCTCCAAAGTGGTGTGTACAAAGCCCAGCAAACAATCCACTGGGACTGGGAAGTAAATATAATCATTTATATTTTTATTTAATTTTACCTAATCTTTTAAAAATGTGTAGGGGGATATATGTACAAAGTGCGATAGGACATGTCTATAACTCTTATGGACTGGAACTTGTCCCCTCATGCTGAAGCCTTAGACCCCCTCCCCAGTACTTCCGAATGTGACATATTTGGAAATAGGGTCTTTCCAAAGGCGATTAAGTTAAAAGGAGGTCTTTAGTGTGGGTCCTAATCCAATATGATTGGTGTCCTTATGAAAAAGGAGAAATTTGAACAGAGACACTAGGAGAGAACACATACAGAGAAAAGACCATGTGAAGACAGAGGGAGGAGGCCATCTGTAAGCCAAGGAAGAGGGGTTTCACAAGAAACCATCCATAACAACACCTTGATCTGGACTTCCAGACTACAGAACTATAAGAAAATAAATTTCTGTTGTTTAAGGCACCTAGTCCATGGTACTTTGATATGGCAGCCCTAGCAAACTAATACAATAACTTAAATATAAATGTAAACTAAAAATGTTTACTGAAAATGCTGTAGTATAAAGATATGGAGACCACTGATTCAATTTCCTAGATCATAAATTCTGTCTCCTCATCAGCACAGAGGAGGAATTTACAACTCAGGCTCTAAACAAGCAAATGATATTCTTCCTATTTTTCTTTTAATTATAAGCTAATCCTCTCATTAAAAGCAATTCATTTCAGATTTGCTATTTCTTTTTCAACAACAAAAAGAGGCTTCTATAATTGTTTCCACAAAGCTAATGGGTTATTGCTATTTTGATAATTTATACCACACTTTACGTTTTGAAATATCTGGATTTGTTCTTTGGATCAGCTAGAATATATTCCTTGATAAATAAAATAGTCAGGATTAGCAGAATTAAGTTGCAACACATACTTTACTTAAAAAAAAAAAACTTAGGCATTAAAGGCAAGGATAATAAAGTTTCTAAGCTACAGTTTTATTTCTATAAACAGTTTCACTTTTGATAAGCTTTTGCCACCTAGAAGCATTGGATGGGAGAAATTGAACATAAATAGCATAGCATATGGAACCGAATAACAAAAATAAAATATTGTCAGAGTGAAAGAACATTTAGTAGATCAGCTTGCAAATGTACTAGTATATTCTACCACTGAATATCTCTGGGCTATTCACAGGAAGTTTTACCTATGAAGAGAATTACAGTCCTTCATGTGGCACTTAAAAGAGCATTTAATTTCAAACTTGCAGAAAACATGGCATTTATTTTTTACAATATTACAAATTTGCTTCCCCCATTATTAAAGCCAAATTATAAAAATTAGCTTGCAAAATTGAGGAAAATACACAATAACTGAAAAACTCACTAACAGTATTTTGCAACTTCTTTCTAGTGTTGCTTCCATGCAGTTTTCTATTTGAAATAAATTACATAAAATATTGTATATGTTATATGTGCATTTTACACGTAAAGGCATATAGAATTATCTTTTAAATAAGTAAAAATACATCTTTTGGTAAGTAGCTTTAACTTAAGACAGATATCAAATCACCTAGAATCATAAGATGATCTTTTTTTTAACTGCCTTTAAAACGACAACATTCTTTCCCACATATATAAAAACTTATGCAGAGAAGTTTTCATGTAAAATAACAAAAAATATATTATTTTAATCTACTGACTTAAAATTTTTTTCAACAGAAGTCATATTTAAAAAACACTTTTCTATTGTATTGCCTCAAAGGAAACATTTAAGTTTATCAAATGAAGAGAAAACAGTACACTGTTATAAATTATTTTTATTGAATAAAAATGTCATAACTCATGATGATTAATTATAAAAATGCAGCATAACAAAATAGGCATTTAACTGTTAAAAGCCACCTGGATTTACAAAAGTTCTTTTAAAATATTTTTAGAATGCTTTAAAGATACAAATTAACTTTTGAAATATATAAAACATTAATTTCACTTTATTATGTATTTAATTTTAATCAATTATTTTTAATAAATGGACTCAGTAATTAATGTACACTACAGTAATCACTGGTAGGAAACAACAGTTTCTTACAACATATATATTCTCAAATTAGATGAATATTAAAAAGGTGGCAAAAGTATGTTTAGTGTTTCAAAAAAATGAATAAATGTACATTACAAAAGAAACCAAAAAGATGTACAAACAAGTTTTTTCCCTTTAAATTCCAGTTCAAAATTTTCATTTGTCTCCTTGTGTTGATCTTCCTTACATTTCAGCCACCTATCGAATTTAGGTTGTTATGAATTTTATATCTACAGTGGAATGCTTTTTACTCAGTGTGCTGGGTAGGTCCCATGTACAAAACTCAAAAAAACTCCGTAAGATGCTGACTAGAGTAAATATGTGACCTGGCTAATAAAAGTTCGATAAGTAAAAAAACGTAAATAAAATGTGATGCTCTGAAGTAAATTTTAAAAGTAAATAATCATTTTAAACAGCCTTAGACATACTTAATCATGTTAATGTCAGCAGTATGTCTGATGTCAGTACATACTACCGAACTGGACAGTTTTAACAAGGTGACATAGAAATCATACGATTTATAGTATTTTCACCTTAACAGAAATGTATGCCTTCAATTAAATGCAACGTTATGAATCTATTACTCAAAATATACATCTAAAAGTCTGTCTAAATGCCAGATGAATAGAGAATCCCACAAATGCCATTCTTCAGTACAAAAAAAATGCTATTATTTTAAATTGACAAATTCTTTTGGAATTATTTCTTTATAAAAGTAATTTTAAACCAACATTTTTATTCTTATTGCTTCAGTACCCAAGCACTTCCCTGTTATAAAACACAAGTCTCTGGAACTACAGTAGCTTTTTCAGTCCTTTTGCCTTTAATTTCAAGGCACTAAAGAATTATAATAAACCTAAGAGTTACTGCAGCTACTGATAGAACAAAGGAGCACCTTGATCCCTGAAAGGGTTTTAACTTTAAAAGAGGTGTTATTGGGACATTTAATAATATCTCAATTACATTTTTACTAATGTACAAAGCATTTTTGGTCAAGAAGGTATTTCAAGTCACATTCATTAGGATACATCACCAAAGAAATCAAACGACAGGAAAAAATTGAACTCTCTCCTTGGGTAGTGCTTTTAAATAATGTAATTTGTTAGAATTAAAATCTGAGAATCTATTTTAAAAATGTTATTTTAAAATTAGATCAAATTAGAATATACACTTGAAGAACAATACTATTAAAACATAACTCAAACCATATAAATATATCTGTTTGTATAGTTTAAAATTAGGTCAAATTAGGATATACACTTCAAGAACAATACTATTATAAATAATATCTCAAACCATATAAATATATCCTAATTGTATAGTTAATGTTTGTCCAATAAGTCAACTCCATTTTCCAGACACAATTTAAACAAAGTATCTATAGAAAAGTATACAGTCAAGATCATAGTAATTAAAATTCTTAAACATAAGTTTTAGAAAAATATAAAAAGTTAAAAATTTAGGTTATAAATTCCCAAGAGTTCCCCTTCCATGCATATGAATCTTATAAAAAAATGTTTAAGCTACAGAAATAAAGACTATTAAATAATAACGAAGGTGTGCAGAGTCCATTGGCTCTTTTGTTGAAAATCTTTCCTTCAGGAATACACCCATAAGTGGGGATGTATAAACCATAGTCAATACTAACTCTTGCTAACTTGGTCCAAATGCTCATCCCATCTTCTGGTCATTTTGCTGTTCTTTTTTTTTTTTAAAACATGAAGAACATGGATAAGTAATTATCCTATCAGTCAGGTCTTTGGCTATTAATCTCCTCACTGAAATTGCTATGGTTATCTTGCCCCAGTTATCAATGGTCAAGGTTTTTCTTCTTTGAAAAAGAAGGTGCTCCAGTTTATCTTGCCATTAAGAGAGCTCATCCACGTAACCTGGTTATGAGATCATGTCATGAACATCACTGTTAGGTCTCTGTCGCACAGCCAGGGGAGGCAGTGGCTTCCCGTAGAAATCTACATAAAGAAGGGATGTCAAGAATAAGAAACAATTATGGCAGATTGAGATTTTTGACACAATTCATTATTTGCCAACCAGTACCTTAAAAAAAATAATAAGACACTTTGACTTGACAGATGAAGCAATGGGTGGGAAGAATAGAAATGAAAAAAACAATCCAAGAAAACTTGAATAAATTTAAAACCTAACCACTAGGGTAAATTCCTAACACTAGATTATAAATTAACTTCTATTTAATTTAATAAAAAGCTACATCTAATGTATATGTTATTAGTTTCGCTTCCAATTATATGTTCGCACTGGAAGAGATATAACAAATATTCAAAATCTATTGAACCTCTTGTCAAAGCCCTGATGAGTCAGTATCTGTACAATCCAGGTTCTTAGCCAATGGCTATTACTTCTAGGTATTTTGGGAGACTTAATTAATTATCTTAGCATTCTGGTAAGTAGGAATCTTTTATAATGATACTTCAATATAGTTCAGTGGTTTAGGGCATATTTGATACAAAGTCTTAGTTTTTATTTCATATTAAGTTCCTATCCATTCACTATCATAAATTGGCTTATAAATTTAATAGCATATGTCAACTTCCAGTAAGTCATTATTTCTGGTCTATTCTCTTAAAATTATTCTAGAAGCACGAGTTTTCAGGATCAATTGAAATAAACATATTGAAAAGGTATTAGGGGTTCATTTCCAGTTACCCACGTGTCTAGAGTTTCGCTAAGTTACACTCCATAGTATTGCTGTCTCAGCATCCATTTTGTTTGGGCGAGTGGCCTGTGGCATGAGAGACTAAACAGATATTATCTAGGGCATGAGAGACTAAACAGATATTAGTCTCTCATGCCCTAGATAACTGCCTACAGAGTCATAAGTAAATGTTAATTTCCTGATACAACTTCTCTAATGGCCCTTGTGATTAACAGTCTCCCTTGCCTTGCAGGGCCTTTTCTCAGATAAGACCCCAGTGGAATTTAGCAAAGCTCCACTCTTTGATTTAAATTGACCAATCTGGCCTTAGCCTGAGAACCCCAAAGCACTCCACCTACAGACCCTAATAAAGGCATGTGCCTCAGGTCCTATAGGTCTCTCTGCCTGCACCCTGCTTTGAGCAGCTGCTGTGAAACCCTCAAGACGTGCTACATACTTCCTCCAGGACCTGTGAGAAATAAACTCTATTTCAATTTTAAAATAAACTCTATTTCTTGTGGTCTTTTGGAGCCTAAGCTTACTATCCAGTAACCAGGGGCTCTACTTAACAAATGTTAACTTAATAAAGTCCTAACAGCATTTAAGAAGCTTGGAAGTCGCCACTCCATCCTAACAGGAAGTAAAAAGCTAAACAGACTGAAAAATAGACAGGTCATCTAGGATCCATAAGAGAGGAGAGGTCACAGGATAAACCACTGTCTCCAATATTGGAGAGTCAGGCAAACACAGGGAGTATCACTTTACTGGAGCAGATGTTCATGAACAGAAATCGCCCACGGAACCAGTGTCCGGGTAGGAAAACCTGGCAAAAAGTATCTGTTTCCCTCCCAAGAAATTATTTTAGTTTTGCAGTTCGTTTCATATTTTTTATTTGCTGGAAAATTAAATGATTATATACAGAGTAGGGTTTTTACTACCTGGAAGGTATATTAAGTTGGTACTCAACTGATATGATCAACTTAATTGTTAATACCCATTTTTATATTTTTATAAAGGGCTTCAAATATTTTGAGATGAAAAACTGAACCTTTGGAATAATACATACTAAATTTTATCTCTCTTCATATTGTAAGATTTGAAAATATTCTTTAGTATGTACATTTGGTAATTTTATCAAACAGAATCTTTGATTTATTGCTCATAAAATAACGTTGACATGGACTGAGAGTATTTAAAAAATGAAATAGATTCTTTTTAACTCTCTTCTCTGAATGCAACTGTTTTACCTGTTACACTGAGCAAGCTTAACAGATATAAAAGCAACTGGAAAAGAATTAAATTGCTATCAAGGTAAATGTCTGTAAATCAAAGAACAAGTAAGAATCTGCCTTAAAATTTCCCAGTCTGACTATAACAAATTGTTTTTCATCTCAGTAAATTTTAAGTGCCAAACCAACTGCAATTAATTTTTAATTATCTACTCTAGTTCATCATGTATCTGAGTCTAATTGCCATCAACCAAATGCAAAGAAATGAGAAGAGGATGCAATTATAATATTGGCACCTATTAGCATCTTAGATGACTATCTCATGATAAATCCTAAAAATTAATATAATTTTTAACAAAAACTTTAATTTATTATATCTTCTCTCATCCCCATTAATGTAAGCACAGATGATTATATACTATTTTTGAATCCAGTTTAGGTATACTTTAACTTAAAATTTATGGGAAAAGAAATAAAGATATTTTAAAAACTTGTGAAGTTATAGTGTTTTCTTCTCTGCCATGGGAAGCTAAATTTATGATATGAACTAAAAATTAACTGAAATATAAGAATATGTTAGTCTTAAACTTACAATTCTTTTCCTGGAGTTCTAATTTAAAAACAAACAGAAGAAAGCAAGAAAAAAATAAAAAATAAAAATAAAAACAACCTTCTCAGGCCATTTTTAACCTCTTTTTCCACTTGCCCTTAACTGAAATGTTCCCCCCTGCTCTATGCTACCAGTAATTATTTTCTCATTCTACATACTTTCCCTCAGAAACAGGAAACTATCATTCTCTCAACTGTATTCATTCAGTAAACAATTATAGACCATCTATTATGAGCAAAGCATTGTTATTGTGTGATGACAGCTAAAACAGCAAAAATCTACCTACACATCCTTGTACCCATCTGGATCCCTTCATTTCTCCTGAGCTCCAGAATCTTACTTGCACTGGACTACAGACTTTTCCAAAGAGATAAGCCTACAGACACTCCAAAGCAACTTCCTTCTTCCTCATGTATTTTCAGTCTTAGAGATAGCACCAATCTTCCAGCCCCTTGAGCCAAATAATCCTCTATTTCTCTCTCCTTCAGCCCACACATATATTCATCAAATATTACTTATTATCATTGTTAAAATATTCCTTGCATACATTTTTTATTCTCCATTTCAATTTCCACTCCTCATTTGATACTTCAACAGCCTCCAAATTGGACTCCTTACTTACCTAGGTGTGGCCACCATCAGGTCTGTACTTCACATTGTGTCAAAAATTGTCTTCCTAAATAACAAATCTACTAATATTATTTCCTTGTTGAAAATGTATAGTGTCTCTTATAAAATTATAGCAAGTCCAGACATCTTCAGATGTATATGTGAAGTAATTTCCAACCTGGCCCTAAACTATAATTCCAGTTTCAATGCTCTTTATAAACTTAAATTTCCTCTTTCTTACTCACTCTTCCCACATGAACTTAAGCTCCAGTCAGAAGTAACTTCGCACTATTTTCCAAATACTAAATGTCCTCCTGCCCACCTCTCTACCTTTGAATAGTCTATTTCTTCTGCTTATTGACTCTTCCCATTCTTTGAAGGCCCAATACCATTTTCACTAACTGTCCATGCATTTTGTACACAGTACTCCAATTCTGCACCATAGAACATTTAACCATATATTGTGAATTGCCATATATACTATAGTAAGCTAAATTCTGTCTTCTCTATTAGACTAAGGTCTCTAGAAAGGCAAAATTTATGTCTTATCTTGGTACCACCAATGTTTTAGGTAGTGTCAAATACAAAATAGTTGTTTGTTGGATGCCTGATTCAGAGAAAAAATATTTGTCAAAAAAGAAATTATTACTTTCTCTCTCTCCACACACACACGTATATACATATATATATATATATATATACACACACACACACACACATATTAACATTACCTATTTTTTCCTAACAACATAGTGAATATTTAAACTGATAATGTATTATAACCTGCATGATTTCAGAATATAATAAAACAGGAATTAACTTATCATAGTCAATAAAAAAACTGTGAAAGTCAGTCAACCAGAAACATGCTTTCACTGTAATTCTGATAAGGTCTAAAACAAACATTTCTGTCTTTAGAAATAAAAATAAATCCTAAATTTAATGTTCACTAATGATTATGAAGAAAGATTTCATTACTGACCTATGGTATTCTGAAAAAAAAAAAACAGCACATTTATATTTATATACTTTTTGAATAAAAATATTTTATATAGTTTGATATAACTTCAAATTATATGGTAAAGCTTTTCTAAAGATTAAACTTCTGACATTTTTTTCCTAATAAACAGATCTCCTTAGGAAACCAGATTAAGTAAACTAGAGCCACCAAAAAATGAATTGGATGTTCTTGATGGAGATATTTATTGAGCTACATATATTTAATTATCCTTTTGCATTCTGGAAGTATTTTATTGAAATAATCTAGATTGATGGTCTGAATCAGAACTCCTGCCTGTTGTACAAGGCAATTCTCTACTTCCAATTGTCCTTTCTCTAATTTTCCATTTGTGGAGTTCTAATGCTATATACTGGCTAAACTACAGTTTATGTTAATTTCATCCAAAGAAAATTATCTTGAGGCAATAAAGCCTTTAATAACTTTCTTTCTATTTAGCTAAATCTTATTTGGTATACTTGATTGCCCTTGATTCCACATTGTTTTGATCTTCATTTTATTATTCAATAACTCAGTGTCTTAGAAGCAGAGAAAGATCAATTATATGAAATCATTGAGTATATTGAACATGTATAAGACAATAAAGTTTTTAGCACTATAACTGTAATATCTATTTAATTTAAATTGCTTTAAAACCTTTCCCTTTCCATCACTATTTACATAAATATATAATGAATAAACACAGCTGTGATTATTTTTACCTCTGTATTCTAAGGTAAACATCAAATCAAATTATATAGAAGCAAAGGTACTTAAGAATAAAAAAAACAAATTAAATTGAAAAAGTGAAGTATAATGAAAAAAGATGGCTATGAAAAGACTTCCAAAAATAAAAGTTTGTTGAAGTCATGAGGTAAAGAAAAGTGAATGTAGAATGTATAGATGTGTGAAAACTGATCCTTTTGCATTACCATTATGACGGATTTCACCAAGAGGCTCAAGTTTTGGAAGTCTAGTGACTTTAGGGGTTCCCCAGCCAACTAAAGAAAAAGAAAAACATTTAAAACACTGTTAAACAATGCCTCTTTAGGTCTGTTGCGAGGATCCCTCCCTCAACAGGAATGTACATAACATGTGATGTCAATTCATATATACTGAATGATACACTACTGAATAGCCATAAACCCATTTTAAATGGCTTCTTTTTAAAAATGTAATTGTAAGTTGGTAACATTGGCTTTATGCTTTTATTTTCCTTTAGTTAAAAATACGAGCATATTCGCCCCTACCATAAATAAACTTAGGCTCTTACTGTAACCTATAGCAGAGGCCAGAAGAAATATTTACTTATTAAATGTAGTACTAGAAGTGAGTCTTCAAATAATTCTCAAAAGAAAATGTTACCAGCTAAAGCCTTCTAGCAGGGCTAAAAGGACACTATAAACATATATATTTAGATATTTATTGAGCACCTACAGTATATGTGGTACTATGCCTCATGCTGAAAAATTACTCACAATTATTATGCAGTTAGTATATCTCAGTGCTTCATATGTAGTATTCCATTTAATCCTCATAACAACTTAGAAGGTGGGTGTGTATGTTGGAAATATAATGAAAAAATTCACATATCTTGGTTTCAAATGTTAATTTTCAAGAGGAAAGATGCAATTTTTTAAATGCTTATGTTAGCCATCTAGTCATTAAACTTAAATTCCTTTTAGCAATCTGGGTACTGATATTTCAAATAGTACTTGAATCCATTCTAGGAAGTACCTGGGTAAGGTTTCCTTATTAATTTTTACTTAATTTTTTTATTTTTATAAAACATTTTTCAAGTTAAGAAAAGCAATAGATATTTATGATGACAAATTCTGAACAAAATAAACAGAGCAAAGAATTTTACCTTTTTCACAAATTCACAACATAATGAATACGCCGAATAAAATCTACACCGTTTTTTTCTTTTTCTTTTTCTTCACCGTTTAAAACCGTATTTCTAAATTCAGTATCAATATCAATTTACTCACTGGGAGGAGGTGGTGGGGGTGGCGTTGGACTCTTAGGAGCAGCGTCATCTGTATTAACAGGTTCTACACGGTGACTCCTTTTTATTCTTAGTTTCTTAGTTTTCTTTTTATTGTTATCTACAAAACATAAACATGGAACTTTATGCCTTTGGGAAAAAGTAAACTTATATAATAAAAATCAAGACTAGAGCTAGAATACTGATATTATTACCACAGAAATATAGCTTCAATTCAACTTTGAAATTATTACCAATAATGAAATGTAAACTTGCTTTTACTAAGAATAAATTTTCTAAATGATTGCTTATTGAATGAATGATTAATGAATGGGATACAAACAGCAAAGAGCCTATATTCTAAGTTCTGTGAGAGATTATTTAGAATACAAAAAAAGTTCACATTTCCAAAAGTAATATATTTTTTCCAAATGTCATTTAAGTAAGTACAATTATCAAATTGCAGGGATCTCTATAAAACTCAAAATGTGCTGGGGAAAGAGAAGAAGTGTCGATAGTAGGATATATATAAAAATTCTAGGTATAAATCGTCCAAAAGTAATATTTTGAAATGTTAAAAAAAGACCCCAATCGAATCTAAACAAATTACCTATTTAAAAAATCCCAAACAAGGTATGCCCAATATAAATATACCTAACCCAAATCACATTAGATCTTTCAGAATTAAATTTTTGTTCTTCCTAAGATAACTATTTACATATTCTCATTTAAGCACATATAAACATTTTAAGAACATCTATGTTGTTAACATGTAAACTTTAATAATGTAAACCAGAATAGCATAGTAGTTAAATAACCAAACATCAGAGTTATATTTTCATTAACAATTCCAAACTACTAAATTTATATCTATGTAATAACATTTTCTAAAATGGGAATTCTGTTATATAAGAAATAGTCGACCTCTATGAAACCTACAAAGGAATGAGAAATAAAAACATATTTAGAATTACGTTATTTTTAAAAAATATATTAGTGCCATTTGAGACATTTTACTCCAGATAGAAATAAAGACATCATTTTACAATTAAAGCTGTAAGCTTTATAACTGGGAGAAAGGAAAGAGAGCCTCCAGAATGATATGGTACTTTAGGGTAGGCAGTAGCTCAGGGTCTTGGAAGAGGTTAAGACACAGAGCAGATGGTCTGAAGTGGGGCTCAGCCTGGCCACAGAAATCTATGATTCTTAAATAAGTTACTCAACCTGTCCAAGTCCTTGATTTCCTATTCTACATTACGGGGATAACACACTCTATAATTGCTATGTTAAATAATATAATGCTGTTAAATAATATAAGGCATCTGAAGCCATGTTCTAAATTATAAAATATAATGTTAATATAATAATAATTATTGTTATATGATTGACTATAAAGCTTCCTATGCTTTATTTTCAAATTATCTGCCAAATCATTTTGCTCTTTAACAATGTATTAGTGTTATAAAGAGTTCTCGATATACATTCAGAGGAGACTTTAAGTCTACTTTCTGTTTAACTGCACAGACAGAGGAGGTAGGAATATGGCTGCCTTAATTTCCCAACTTATGGAAAGTATAACTTTCAAATCTAATTATTATTTATACAGCAAAATATCCCTGTTAGCTAATCTGCACTTCAGAGATTGAGATCTCATTTTCATAAACTCTTTGACATTGTGCAAAAATTCTTATATACAATGGAACCATACTGCTAACTAGAAATGGCTAGGAAGTAATAATTATTAGGTGTCTACCATGTGTCAAGCTCCATACTAGGAACTCTGTAGGGTTATTTTTATTATAAGTAACCCTAAAAGCCCTATGGGAAAAAAAAAGATGATATTTATTTCCATTTTAGAGATGAGAAAACCAAGACTGAAGAACATTATATAACATCATGTATATCTAGATGGAAAAGTCAGGATTCCATCCCAGGTTGTCTGATTCCAAACATAGGATGCTTCTCTGTGATACCAAAAGATATAAACTTCCTGTTAAATCACACAACCACTTAGAAAAAAGCAATTATGATGTGAAGACTTTATGTGATATTAAAATAAAAGGAAAATGGCTATTTAATAAGACTTTAAAAATGTTAAAATGATTATGTCTGCATCCTACAGAAATAGGAAGTCAATAAAGAAAATGATGCTGTTTGTAGCATTATGAGGCTTAAAAGAAAAAAAAAAGCCTGAAAAGTATTAAATACATTCTAAAGATTCCTGGGGCTATGCTATATTTTTAAGTTATAAAAGACTACATTTTAAAGCATAATAAATAAAAATATGTTAGCAAATTGACTGAGTAACTAAAAACCATGAGAAAACCATGATAAATACTGCATTTGCAGACAAAATATATTATAATACTTTTTTTTGGTGAAAATAATCATGACAAATGAAAGAAGTATAATCCACACATACACACATTTTTTTTTAATTTAATAACTAGTTTTATCACCTGATTCTGATGATGGCTGGTCTGTTTCATCTTCATTCTCCAACTGCTGTGTTAATGCTTCCTTATAATTTTCTACTATTCCCAACTCATTGTTTTTTTGGCTACTGTCACTGATCTGGCTCTGTGTCTCTATTTGCTCACAGTCCATTTTATGTTTCAGGGGGCAGTCATCACTGTCTTTCTCCATATTTTGCCTTTTTTTCTCTTTTTCAAGTTTTTTTTCATTCTAATAGAAATGAAATGTATCATCTTTAATATAACAGTTATATCTAAGATAGTTTTAAGAGAGAAACAAATAATCCAAGAGCATTCTGTAACCCTGGGGAACTGTGATATTTCTATTAAAAATCATTTGTTGAAGATATCATAAAAACATGCTAATTACCAGTCAGAAAACAGATTGTATAAAGGAAAAAAAAAACAAATATTATGAGTAACTGCACAATCTAGAGATGACCACTATTTGATATATAATCACTAAGAGGTGCTTTTCTTTGCCTACCTCACACACCAACAGACATACACCACCCACAAACATACATAAATGAAATGGATTGCCTCTCTCTTTATACATATTTGTGTATTTGTTTTTAAAACAAAAAAATTGAAGTTTTTATTTAAGAATATATATTTCTTTCCTTGCCAATGAATATATTAAGTGCTTTGAATAGTGCCTGACACCTAGTAAAGTGTTAGCTGTAAGTTGTTATGTAATGCTATATGTGTTAGCTATTATTACTTTCATCGATCACATTATCATTTTGAATGATTATATCATAACTTATTTTAGCAATTCTCAATCAATGGACAAAAAATTTTCGATTTTTCACTATTAACAAAATAATTATTGAATTAGTTCTTTAGAATACATTCCTAACAGGAGAACTGTTGGCTCAATGGGTAAACACATTTTAAAATGTGACACACTACAAACTTCTCTTCAGAAAAACTAAAGTCAATTTACATCTCAAGTAAAAGCGTGAGAGAGTGCTCTCTCCCCATATCTTTTTCAATGCTGCATATCGTTATCAATCTTTTCTATCTCTGTCAAATTATACTTCAGTGTCGGTTTCATTTAGCTTGTTTTTATTACTAGTGAAGATGGACTATGAAATGCCCTTACTGTCATTTTATTTTTCCATTAGGGAACTAACCATGGTCACCCAATATCCACTTTTCTATTAGAGTCTTATTATTTTCATAGTTTTTTAAAGGTTGTTTGGTTTTTTTTTTGTCTTATGTGTCTCAAACATTTTTCATTAGGGTCTGCTTGGGTTTTATTGCCTTTAACTTTGTAAAACGCCTCTTAAAAATTGAACATAACAAAGTCTATCTATTTTCACTTTATGATTTGTGGTTTGACTGTCTTGCTTTGAAAGTTTTTCTTCCTCCATTCATATACAAATGCTTACTATATTATATACTAGTATTTTTAAGGGTTCTTTTTTTTATACATTTAAGTCTACTGGAATTTAATTTGGTATACAGTGTTTAATAATTTTACTTTTTCCAATGATTGTTCAGTTGTTTCAACCTCCTTTTTCTTCCAGATTTGAAATGTTGCCTTTATCTAATATAAAATGCTCATACATTAGGTTTATTAGGTTTATTCACTGTTTATCAATGTTCCACTGTTCTGTCTATCTGCTCTGGAACCAATACCTCACAGATAATAACTTTTATTATCTGTGGTAAAAAGCAAAGGAATGTAAGGTGTTTCTCTAAAATGCAAACACTTTAAAGGAGTAGTTCAGTGGGGAAAAAAATCTGCTTGTTATAAAGGAGACTATAGGTAATTTGTTTCCATTTGTTTCATTTCTTTACTGTTTATGTCCTTAAAATTATTGTAGCTTGAAAGCACAATAACTGCACTTTCCCCATGTCACTGATTAATTCAGCGACTTTCAATATAAGGTGTTACTATTCTGTACACCAGTATTGTTCACATCTTCGTTGTGTGAAAAATACAATGTTGGTAGAAGCGCTAAGGCCTTCTAAGTAACCATGGTACTACAGAATAATTGGTCATTATTTACAAGGTGAGCTTTATCACATATAGAGTAAATTAATGTTTCAAAGTGAAAAGTCAAACTGATTTTTCTCTCCTCTACCAATATTTTAAGGAGTATAAAACAAAACTTGACAGACATAATATTTAATAGGATGGAGACAAAGCAATAGCTCAAGTTATTCAGATGGCTTTATTATACTTAGAAAAACACATATTTAAGTTAAATGCAATGGGTTAATACAAAGATTAAATACAACTAACCTCTGGTAGCTAAGCAACTTAAGACCAAATATCTCATAATACCAATTATTTTGCAAAATAAAGCAATACCAAAATTATCCAATCATCTTCTTACCTGCGGAGCTGCCTCCCTCCTCAGCGGCAGCCCCAAGGAAGAAACAATCATCCACCTTTCCAGATGAGCACCTGTGTGGAAGGAGGCAGTGACAGGGGAAGAGGAGTGGAGAACATACAGGCAGTGGGACCAGCAAGCCAGCTGCCACATTAAGCTCTGAGTGAATGGAGAGAGGTTTAGGAAGTACTGCCTCTGAGGAGGCATGGCTGCTGAGGGCAATGAAAAAGCAGGGCCAAGGCAAAGTCTGGACACCAGTAGAAAACGAAAACAATGACAGATATACAGACACACATACACACGCGCACACACACAACCCCTTAAATTCTTTATGATTAAAATCTACAAATTAATTGTGGTAAAACTTTGGACAATTAAAACTAAAATAAATAATATTTACATGTAGAAGAACTTATTATAGTTTCAAACATTCTTAAGTATCCTGAGTAAATAATTAGAAAATCATTTATGTACTCTAATACATCCTAACATCTAAATATTACTGTAAAGAGATAGTAACAGCAATACAGGGACAAAGACAATATAAATAAGAGTAAATATATTACTACCGTATGAAAAAAATGACAAAAAAAGATTTATTAGAATAGTTACTATTACGGTTGCTACATTTGATCTTAATTTTCATTCTCAGTTAATCTCCAAGTCATCTCAGTTATTTTCCAAAGTAAATTTGAGAGAAAGAAAAAGCAGCAAACTTTTAACTCATCTCTCTCATTTAATTCTTTTAGAAATAATCAGTCTCTAGTGAAACACTTCTTTCTATCTCCCTGCCTCCTTTCCCAACTCCCCGCCTCTTTCTTAACTTCCAACTTTACAACTCAAGATATAAAAATTACATTTGCCACCATCCATACCTCAATGATTACAGTCGCTATCGGCTGGAAAGGATTAACAATAACTGGTTCTGGGTCCACCTCAGCCAGACCACTGGTTCCATCAAGTTCAGCCTGCTCTCGCTCTCTCTGCTCTCTATTATTTGAGGAAAAAAGTTTGGAATTCCTGAGCAAGTGATGAATCATGTTTAAGAACACTTACAATAGATTTAAGGCCATTAAACTTAGAAATTTAAACATCTGGACATGGCTTTGAATTACTGAGAGATTTTCAGAAATCTTTATGCACATAACAGGCCTCTATCCTCATGTAAAGATTAATCATTTGAACTTTAAAAGAAAGAAATGTTGACAAAAATGACACTCCTTATGACTGATTTCTTAAGGTCAATGGTGCATATTAATTATTTTTCTATGTGTCAAGGGTTTATATTTATCAATTTATTAATTACCCTCCTAAATCAATGCTGTCATCTTCACTGATATTAACAGATAGTAAGTCCTTTTGTTAATCCTCTTCTTAAGGGCTGTGTCAAGTTACATATCATATATGAACTAAATAATGACTATTGCTTTGCACAGTGTAAGAGGCTATAAAAATAGCTTGCACTTATCACTCAGATTAAATAGTATTTTCATATTCATTACTACTGAAACATTTACTATCTCTGTGATTTATAGTTAATGTTGCCCCATACATGAAGGGTAATAAGTTAATAAAACAAGTAGAGCAAGACAGAAAAATGAGTAGTATTGATCTGCAACTTAGCTGCAAGTATAGTATAGCAATGTGAATGCTCATTACTATGACATTTATTATGTTCTCTGATGGAAAGAGATATCCTTTCATTGTGAACCTAGGAAGCCAAGATTTAGAGATTTGCAATTTATTACCTGTGTGACCTTGGACATGTATCTGGATCTTTGAGCCTCCGCTTTCCCATAAATGTGGATAAAAATACCTACCTCATTGGGTTGTTTCAGCTAAAGTAATATATGTGAAAGCACTCTGTAAATGAACATATTTATATGACAGTAACTGTTATTAATGTTATTCATTTACTAGTAAGCAATTTCAAGTACCTAGTATTGAAATACTATTTTCGGATACCAATAATGTGTTTTACAGTTTTTCAAAAATATCTGAACCTATCAAATTGTATTTAAAGAAGTAAAAACGTTTTTTTATATCACTCCTCTCTAGATGCCAATTTACTTTTAATTATGGAGACTCTGCTCAATAGGAAAGGCCTCAGACCACACGTGGCATGGCTAAGAGAAAAGAGGAAAGGGAAATGAGTATTAGAAAAGCCTGCCATAACATGACCTAGAATATCTTTATGGAAAAGGTAAGAACTTGGGGTAAAAAGTGAATCACATTTGGTTTCTTTTATCCAATTCAAAATTTTTGTTCTTTTTGTTTGTTTTCTTAATGAAGGAAAAAACAAAAGAGTCTTCAGAAAAGTTGGCTATATGTTTTATTTTTATAAATATATAAAAGGTATACTTAAATGAATGATTGGTTCTACTGAGATTTATGTCATGGAAATATACAGTAGGACAGAAAACCAAAGATTCTCACTGGAACTAAAACCTCATATCTGTATCAAGAGATATCTAGATCTGTTCATATTATTCAGCACTTGGTGATGGAGAGTTATCTCTACAAATAATTCTTTAAGCCCTATCTCTGAATTAAAAGAAAGATACTAGTAATTAGAGGATTTCCCCGATAGTGTAGGGGAAGACCTCGCAAAGCCGAGGGTAGTTTAGTAGGGTCCTGCCTACAAGGTAGCAACTATGTTAAAGCATGTGGAAGGTCAATATTACTTTGTAGATGAAAGACAACTTTAGATCTTACAGGAGGAGCTCACTTAAAAACTGTTTCATTCCTGCCCCCTCCCCCACCATGTAACAATCCAGTGAAAAAAAGAAAGAGAAATCTTGGGATTAAGCCCTAAATTCAACTTTAAATCTGAGTACTTTCTTATAGAATTAAGATTATTATAAGTGATTCTATGGTAGAATTCATATAATTTTTTTTAAATTAGGAGTTTGCTAAATTAAGTTTAAAATTTTCCTATAAAGGAACTGTATTTTTAAAATAATTGGAAAAACATATTTTAAAAACCTGCAATGGTGCAATTTAGTCGACTTTCTGATAAAACTAAGGTTGAAGATCAGCTTTTGCTTCAGTTGACTGATCCACCAACAGATTACCTTCTATCTTTGCTGAGACTAAAGAAGGATTTCTCAATCTAATGACATATTAGACTCAATAATTCTTTGTTGCGGGAGACTGTCCTGTGCATCATAGGCTGCACAGCAGCATCCCTGGCCTACCCACTAGATACCAGTAGCACTTCACCTCTCCACAGCGGTGACAAGTAAAAATGTCTCTAGACACTGCCAAATATCCTCTGAAAAGCAAAATCACCATTGTTTGAGAACCACTGCATTAAAAGTACCCATAAGAAATAGGAGACAAAAATTTTAATACTCTGTGAAATAATAAATATCTAAGGATTAAATTTAACTACCACAGCACCACCAGAAATATTAGAATCCTGTCACCCAAACTCCTGTACAGAAAGAGCCATAAAAATAGAAAACTTACCTACTGCCTTCTTTCATATAGAAAGAGGAAACTGAATAGACAAAACTAAAAAATTCATAAAATTGTGGTACAAAATAAATCTACTTACCTTTCTTCCCGTAACTTTCGCACTCTTTCAGCCCTTTCTCGTTTCTCTTGTTCCTCAAGAGCACGTTGTTCTGTTGTGTCTTTTTGGATGCGTTCATTTAAGACATCAAAGTCCCTTGCAATGATATTTAGTAGCCAATAAAGGCCTTTTTTAATGGATTTGTCAATTTTCTTTCCAGATCCCAAGATTGCTGAACAAGGTTCCTGAAAAACAGCAATTTATTTGTCTTAGGAATTAAAACTAAAAGGTCTCCACAAAAAATCTACTCATAAACCATTAAGTATAATTACTGGAAAATCAATGATAAATTAATGATAGGAAGCTCTTGCTTATTTAACTCACAAAACACACCTTTGCAATGATCACTAACATTAGTACCCAGGAAATGGAATATTTTGTGTATATGTATAAGCTATGAGAGATATTATGACACGAGAAGTCAACGGTGCCAGTTATATTTTATAGCAGTAAACGGTTTTTAAGATTGACATGCCAATGACTATCTTCTGAAACCAGAGTAAATAATTCCTGTGTCTATCTTTCTTAAGATTATATGATAACTCTCCTGATATGATTTTCGAAAGTCATCACAAATCTCTCCTATGTTTAAATTTTGTATTTATATGTTTTATTTACTATTTACAAATTTTATAGCATGACATGTTTGAATAGCTTACAGGTCTTGTCAGCGATTATCTTAAACAAAGGCAAATATAATTCTTTGAAATTACAAAAGATGGTTTATGGAAGTCAGTAACAACTAAACAGAAAACAAATATTACAGTATTAAGTAATATCAACAGAATATTGAGAACGTGATTTCCTGGATAAAAAAAAATTTCTTTTAAAATACTAATGAATTCTTTTGTTAGCTGCCTTACCACTTAATTGCCTATCACCTATACAAAAACTAAGTTATACTGAACATATTTCATAGGGCAAAAAAAAAACCCAAAACTTACTATTTGGCATAGGCACTTGTGCTCATTGACCAATTTTTCTAGAGACAGACATTCAATCACATCAGCTTCTCCTAAAGCCCCTTCCTTGTCTTGTTTATTTGCCAACCTAGAGAGATATAAATGAAGCTGTTTTATAGCAAATATATAATCAGACAGCCACTTAAGAAGATTTTGATCATGTTCTCATTCCAAAGTTTTAAAGCTACCGATTTCAGAACGTACTGGTTTTAGAGAGTATTTAGTATCGAGTTCATTTTTCCTTTATTTTACTACTAAAAAGTTAGTAAGAATTGGCCTAACAAGGGAAATCAGGTAGTGTCAAGAAAACAAGCAACATATCAATAGGCCAACAAAAAAGCTACAAATAAAAAAGCGGACTAGTTTCTGCAGTTCTCAGCTGTCAATTCTAATTTTCACATTAACTACGTCTTTATCTTCTTAAAATACATTGCATCATGATGTAAGTGCCCTTATCTCATGTTCTTATCTTCTTAAAACACAAACTGTACCACGTTTTAAATAATCAAATACTCATTCTGGGCTTGAAATATTTGAGATCATCTGCATTTCCAGTGTGTAGAATGAGACCACATAAATGTGCAACTTATTGGAGAAATGAGGTCACTTCTATCTAATTTACTTTGCATAGCACTGGGCATTAAAAACAAACAAACAAAAACATTATATTCAATTAGGAACAAACTGGGGAATAACAAATAAAAAAAATTTATATAGAAATTACCACAAAACACCATGATTTGCCTATCAGATGGCAGAGGTCAAAAGTCTAATAAAACACTACTTGGTCAGCATTTGATAGACATTTCAGACCAATAGATATTATTTAATAAATATACAGAACAATAAATCTAAATAATCCTTATCATCTATCTTTAAAATTATCAAAATTGTGCCATTCTTGCTCATCTACATATCTTCTACTTTCCCCTCCAGTCATGTCACTGCACCCCAAATTTAAAAATTTAAAAACATTACACAATACCACTATCACACCTAACAAAATGAATATTCCTCAATAACTTTTTACAAGTGTTGATGTCCAAATTTAAATCCAAACCAAATACACATTACAATTTACTCTTGCCTTTCACTCCCAGCCCAACATCCCCCACCCTTGCAACACCATCACCACCTCATTTGTAAAACAAAAAACTTATTTTTCTATAGAATTTCCCGTGTTTAGCTTTTGACTGATACCTTCCTTATGAGATCATTTAACATGAATACTCTGTATTTCCTATATCTAGTAGTTGGATGGATGAGTTTCGAGTTGAAATCTTTTGGCAAACATATTTCATAAATGGTGCTGGTACTTAGGAGGCTTATACCACTGGTTGTACCACTTTTAACGATGTTAAAATGGATCAGTGGATTCAGCTGGAGTCAGGCTGATTCACCCAAAATAAAGTTCCCATTAACCTTTAATCTAATGATTTTAGCAGTCATTGATGACCTTTGCTAAATTCAGTTATTTTATAAGGCTTATGAAATCATGACTTTTCTAGTTCTATAATCCTTCTGCATTTACAAGCTGGATTTTGATAAAAAGTAAGCTTTCATCAACTACTTACTTACTCTAAAATACAATTCAGATAAAAGTCAAGATAAACCTTTGATCCTTTGCCTTCAATTCCCTAATTTTCGTAATAATAAATGGGTGCCCTAAGAATCTCCAAAGGTGATCAAGTTGCTTTCTGTGGTTTCTGGGATTGTCATTATGGATTCATAGATTTTTAAAACTTATTTGATATGCTTCAATTTATTGCAGTTACTGTTCTTTTTGAGGCTCAAAGTTACCCATTTTTGATCAGTGGGTTACCCATTTTTGATCAGTTCCCTTTGTTAGCTCCTGTGTTCTGTAGGTACAACTCCAATAGTCTTTGCTATCTTCTTGGTTTTTTATAAGAAACAATATTCCATACCTGGAATCATCCATTTCCCTAAGAAGCCCTGGTTCCTTTTAGTAGGAACTGTTATTAGAAAGACCACAATCTGGACCCTATGGATATTTACTGCTACTGACTTATCATTGTTTTCTAGACCCTTTCAGTGGACAAAGCTAAGAAAAAAATGTAGTTTTTAAGAAACAAATTATGAGCTCATATTGAATTTTTCATTTTAAATTAGATATTACCAAGTTTTTACTTAGCTTCTTAAATTGTATTTTTCTTCTGTTGAAAACTACAGTTCCTAATAACACTGACACTGACTATATGCTTTATTCTACAATATATATGAGCTTCAATAACAATAGCAATATTATTACTAAAAATAAGACACTAAATAAAGGTTAAGATCTCATTGAGGTTATTCTTGTTTCTAAAATATATCTCGCAAGAGATACAGAGTCAAAATACTGGGTTTTAAAATTAGTTGAAATAATCCTTCTCTGTATGGTTATGCCACCATTAGATATATAGCTAGGATTATTTATTTCAGACAGCTTTTATTTTTAAGATAGTTTTACTTTTTAAGATTTAATTTTTAAAACATGTGGTTCTAAATTCAAAACCATAAAAACAAACTATAATGAGAAAGAACTAATTTCTGTCTCTGTCCCTTCTCCTTCCTCTCTCTATTCCATCCATTCTCCTACAAGTAACTACTTTCGTTAGTTTTTAATTTATCCTCTCATATTTCTTCTTGAAAATTTAAACATGTATATAGGGAAATGGTATTTTAAAGACCACAATTTGGGCACTATGGATATTCACTGTTACTGATTGGTTGAGAGGTGTTGTGTATGTGCATCTTCGCCTCCCTTTCTTCCTCAAAAACCAGCATACTATATACACTCCTATGCACCATCTCCCAACTTTTTTAAAACATAAATCCTAAAATTACCCTGAAGCAGGGTAAAGAAATCTTCTTTATTACTACATATGCTATTAATGAGGAAAATGTTCATTATGTGGATGTTTCATCATTTATTCAACCAGGCCCAGAATGAAGGACTTTTTTCCAGTTATTTCCAGTGTTTTGTTTTTATAAAGAGTGCTGTGAATAAGTGTGTGGAGATGTTATTTCTTACCTTGGGAACAGACTCCAGGAAGTAGGACTACTGAATCAAAGAATAAATGCAACTGCTATTTTGATAGATATGATAACAATGTCCTTGTCCCTCCTCTCACCCTCAAATCATAAAAATCAGGCAGAAAAAAAAGGGACGGTAGGAAATTTAGTAATGTGAGAGAACTTTCATTTCCAATTTTCCTACTAATATTTCACCCTGGTAAAAATTAATTTTGAATTGTTATATTAATATAATAAACAGCATAACATTTAGTGCTGCATGACTTTAGTTTTTCTATTTTGGAAACTATGGAAGAAACTTATTTGAAAAAAATAGCAAGTATAGTAAAAAGAAAAGTGGGATGGAAGGTTTAAAGACAGGAGGTTTTTTTGGCAGTTGTAGTTGTGAAAATCAATGATTTTATGAGTTAACCCCTCGGGATTTCCTAAAATAGAGTTGAATTCAATCATTTTAAAGTAAATGGAACAAAAAGCCTTTACAGCAAGCTTCTTTCCATTCCTAGTTATTCCAAATTCTGTATATTTAGCAAGTTTTGATACATAAAGAAAACAAAGAAATCTTTGTTTAAATACAAACCCCCACTTTAATGAGTAATGTATTTTATATATAATATAGGATTGGGATTACAATGCCTTTGCCAAATACTCTATGTAGGCAGTTTAACAAGGACTTCCTGTTACCAGCTAGCTCCAATGAAAACGATCTTCCTTTAATCTAAAGAATGGGCGGTTAACAGGCAGAACCGGATTCTCCAGGTGTGAAGTAAGCAATTTGTTCTTCTCATTTGATATTAACAGCAAAAGGACAATTTTATCTCTAACTTATTTGGCTTCGTTGTTTGGCTTTCAATTAAGTTAACTATATGAAAACCATACAAAAATTGCCTGTGAACTATAAAATAGAGACTTAAATAATCTGATCAAAGCGTTAACAGGTTTCTCTTTCAAAGAAAGGCAGGACTCCAAGACTGCAGGTGGAACAGAAACAAAAGGAACAAGACAAAGGTAAATAAACCATTCTTTTTCATACTTTTTAATGTGAAACATCCATAGTTTGAAATCTGTCACACTTAAAAATAGCTCAACAGACAAGTAAAATTGTTGTTTTGCTCAGATTTGCACCAGGCTACAGACAGCTGATCTACTCACATAAACTGCTGATAAACTGAATGGAATTTGGGTTTAGAGATCTCAGAAATAGATCATTTTAACAAAAATCAACTTTTTCTTTTAAGTCCTCTTAAAAATATCTTCTCAATTTGGAAACACTAGAAAGTCAGATCCTATAAAAACAAATTTAAAATTCTTTCTTTTGTAGATTGACTATAAATTAGTCACATTGTGCTTCCTTTCAAGAACACTTTAACATTTAATTCTGAAAATAAGTGTATGCCCAAATTTGACACATAAGTATAACCTTTAAAAAACTTAAGATAATTTTCTAGCAAGTCTTAATTTCTTCATTGTTGTTTCCCAGAATCTTTTAAAATTAATTTCAGGAAATTAGAAAATAATCTTCTTATAAAAGGACCACTGTAAAATATCAAAGTACTCACATTTTAATGTTTTAGCTAAAGTATTAGAAGTACGTAATTATAAAATTTAATATGCTTGGATATTTAAAAAAATTTAAGTCAGCATCGTTTAAAGTCAACATATATACATATGTCTGATACTTTTAAAATTAAGTAATATATAAGTTTAACCAAAACATATTTATTTTCTGATATTTCTTCAAAGTTATTTTATAATTGTTGCTATGCTGAATTTAGCAAAGAACCCATTTCATAAATCAAAATAATAATGGCTTTTAATAAGTATTTTAAGAGTGGACTTGAAAGTGGACTAAGTAATACCTATAACATCTTTATGGCTGTGATTTTAAATTTAATATAAAAATCATTTTATGTATGTACAGCATATTTTATAACCAGGTAAGTGAGAGTTCAAAATAACAGCCATCTTAATATTTAAACAAAAATGGTCTTAATGTTACATTAAACAAGTTGGTTAACAATTAACTTATTTAAACTCAATAAAAAGTAGAACAAA